TCATGTTTATCGGTACCAAAGGCATCAATAGGTATAAGATTGTGATCTGAATTTCGAGGTGATTAATAATTACAGAATCTGCAACTCACTCAAAATCGCGATCAAAGTCTCGGCTATTCGGCTTTTATGATGGCGAATCCACCGATAAAGAATGTGATGCGCTTCTTCTTTTTCAACGTCTCAAATCCGGACGAGATTATCTACTACGGCGAGAAACCTCGCCTTGTTGAAACGCAGTCCTATGCAGTGATGTGAGCAAATAATTTTTATTGATTTCATTTTGATTAGGTTGCCTCAAAGCAGTCCATTTGTTCTTACTTTTACATGTGAATCTTCTCTATACACAATTTCAATCTAATGCTTATGAAATATGAAATGAAATTTTCTCTGGAGCACTTTTAGGACGAGTTACCTTCATCTCTCCCTCCCTCTCTGTAAATTGAGGTTGAGTCTCTCATATTAGAATGTTCTTATTTCATAATAGTAAGCCATTTCGGCCTTGACAAAAATTCGACTGTTTCACACTAGGCCGAAAAATTGAATTTTTGATGTCTTTGAAGGCGCCTGAGTGTACCTGAGTCAAACGGGCGATCTGGTAAGACGTGCTGCTTGATTTGAGAGCTCCTTTGATAGTTTTCTTCAATTTGCAAGTCTCACGCGAGGCTTATCGTTGACCGATTTTATAAATTTTAGGACCCTTCTCTACAGCCCCAACACCATCACCCTGGAGGGATTCCCTCACCATTATAGGACCCGACGCGAGCACCACCACCATCCCGCCATCATGACTGTTTCTATAGTGTAATACTATTTAAAGGAATCCTTCGCGGAAAATTCTTGCATTCTTTCTTGACATGAATGTGTCAGTTGTGATCACTGGAAACAGCACACAAAGTTTCACGCATGAAGATTCGGTTTCCGAAGAGAAACAAACGTACAAAAACTACACGTTATGGACATCGAAGGTAATTCGGGCGGAGCCAAACGAGGCATGGAAAGAAGTTGGCCTTTAGCCGGCTACGTATCAGGCGACGCAATGACGGAATCCGGGTAAAGTGATCGATTTTGGAGAATAGAGGCAAACAATCGATAGAGTATGATGCAGTAGAAGTGTAAGATGTGAATGCAATAAAGCAGAAAGCCAGAAAGAGTTTCTAGTGAAGGCACTCCAAGAACCAAGTGGAAGCATCCCCGTCGCCAGCATTTGTGAAAGACGTCCGTGGGCACTTTGAAACGTAGCGTAGCAGCCCTTTCGATTTTTCGAATTTTTTACCAGAACGAAAGCAATATTTCTGTTCTTTCCATTCCTTTCGTGGATAATGAGTCTCAAGTCAGTGAATTATGGCCCAAATAAAAGCATGACTTTTCCGCGAAGGATCTCTCTGACTCTTCATGGCCATTATACGTGACAGGCAGCGCCCCAACACTTTTTCCCCATAAATTCCTTCTGCAAAGTTGCTGTTTATTGTCCGGGCGAGCGAAAGTCCATGTCTAATAAAGGACCTTATCTCGGCCATAGCCGCATAAATTATCAATAGAAAATCAAAAAACACAATGTCTCCCTGCCTAAGATTACCCGACCGCGGCAGTTGACTCTGGGCATTTCCAATATATTAGCGATTTTCTCGAAAGATGCCTTCCCAAACAACTCCGCTGGATTGGCATACGGCTGCTTCGACCTTTTGATGCCAGGCCTTCATTTAGAAACTAGTTGTTATTGAATGTTGGCGGTTCAAATGAAAAAATGCGATATGACTTTCTAAAAGTCAACTATGTACTATACCCAGGGGATTCCACATTCTTCACATTCAACATTGTGCTCTTTTGAGACCGGCAGTCACTGCCCTTCTATCTATAACACATAAAAACTGATATCTACGACACATAGATAGCTTATCAGACCACTGCTTCTCTATGCAACAGCAGAGACAGACCAGAAAACGATTGTTTGGGGATCTCATTGGGCTTCATGAATTCCTAAACTGCCACATTTTTCGACTTCTATTCATTAATAAGCAGGACGATTCTGTTACTAATTTTCGCTCATAACCAAGTCTGGTGCTAGTTAACCATTGATTCAAAGACCTGGATGTAGTGCGAAAGCGAAGGCATTATTCCAGATTTGAAAAATCTCAGGAGGAGCTGCTTGTAAATGTTGATAACCTGAGCGAGGGTGGTTGACCGATGGGCAGTGGTGGTAGCTCACTTCTTCTTGGAGCTAGCTTAGTTAATCAGAGTAATGCAGAACTAGATAGTAGGTGTTACAGTGGTCGAGTTTCATACTACGAACTTGGTCCGAGGATCAAATCTCGAATCGGATTTATTCAGTCCAACAAAGCCATCTACCCCTTTTTGATGGTTTGAGTAAGGAGTATCCAAAAGATCCGAAGACTTCAGAAAGTGTTGACAGAATTTAGGATTTCCTAGAATTCTGATTTTTTAGACGGCAGGAATTCATGCACTACTCGATCGATTGAAAAAGACTGATAGTACACATCAGTGATCAATACATTACTGAATAAAGCCATCGGTTGTCTTGTTGAAAAAAATTTGGTCATGAAATTTGAGTCATTATTTTTAGACACCTTAGTGGTACCAGATTTATGCAGGAGAAAAGCACTGAGTTGCCCATCAGTTCCCCCACGCCCCCCCCCCCTCCAAGGATAGCACAGACCGTCTGCACTCAGGTGCAACGAATCCATGATAAAGGACCTAAAAGTGGATTTTTACAATGAAAAGGAAGCCTATTGAAAATCAATTTAAAGAGGTCCAGCGATACACGAGAAGAAGGAAGAACCTAAAAAAATGGTCTGGAACCCGAGAAATGGACCCTTCCTTGCCCGTTGATTGCGCATTGATGCGACTCTCATCGGTGCTGCCCTCTTCAACGCTAACACTCTCTGCTGAACGGCTAGAGACTCAGACACGAGACGAGAGGCGGCATATTGGGCCAATAGCGCGTTAATCACGCCGCCGAGAAGGCCATGCGAGATCGCCGGGGCACATGCTCCGATGCGAATTATGCATTGTCCGCACCCCTAGGAGGCCCGTCTGTCTCTCCACTGGTTGAAGTTAGGTAAGTTTCCCCCTCGATTTTCGACCGTATCGTGGAATCCTCCTTTGTATCCTAGTGATTGAGACACCGCTCCTGCACACTTTCCGGTGGGAGGCCTGATCTTCGTCGAGAACTAGCACTGAGATTGTCTGCTGCACACATTGCTTACCGCATTCCGTGGTCCTCATAGAATCACTGCCAGTGATTCTCTCCTTCTCTTCGACTCCGGTGCGGATGGATACTAACTGCATATTCCAGTTCTCATTTGTGATCATTCTGTAAACTGAAAAAATTCTCCTGTTGTTAAACTGTCAACAGTAGGGTTCTCCATCCAGGCAGGGATAGCCGAGTGGTTAAGAGGTTAGACTCATGTCTGCACCTCTGAAAACCGCGAGTTCGATCCCTGCCGAGGTTAACCATGCCTTGCAAAAATGGTTCTAGTACCAGCGTCAGGCCCAGGTTGACAGGCCGGCTGATGAAACCCCCAGTCACACCAATCAGTAGGGTTCTCCATCTCCTCCTTTTCTTCCATTGTAGTTGTTCGTCTAACGCTATCTTGAGAACGTTGTTGTGTTTACTGCTATATTCAAAGGCACGGATCGTGATTAATCCTCGAAGAAATTCTCGTCTCGAGTGAGGCGGGCTCCTAATGGCAGGGATGATGCTACTAGCGACTCAAAAGTGCGCGATAAGGGAAGCTGATGCCTCCGCTTGCTCATGACATAGCATAACATACACGATATCTGCGCCCTCTGGTGTACGCAGTGCTCTGTCGCGTGTTCCCTCTCCTCGCAGCGCTTTGTCTCCGTCACACCGCAGTCTACCTCATAAGGGAAGTTTCAGTGTTTTCCGTGACGCTTTTTGCTTTTCCTTCCCTTTGAAGTCCCCTTCGCTCTTTTTGACTAATTATCGAACAAAATGGCCCACTATTTCGTTCGCGACCCGTGCGGCGTTAAAGGTAGAGCTGATTGCAATGGTCACGAGACTAAAGCCATGGACCGGGATAAGGTGCCATTAAGTATTCCGACTCGAAGTGAGAAAGAGAGGTCCCCAAGCGCAGAAGGCGCGGTACTATCGCAACTCAAAATGGGCACGACGCTGGCCATGCCCGTGGGCTGTCGTGCTACCACCCTTATCAACCGCAGCATGCGCGTCGTCTGTACCCTCTCGCGTACGACGTACTATCTCGCGTTTCCCTCTCCTCGCAGCGCTGTGTCTCTCCGTCATACTACGGCCGCCTCTAAGGGGAATTTCAGTGTTTTCTGTAGCATTTTGCTTTTTCTCCTCACTGAAGTTCTTCATTGCATTCCTTTCTAATTTTCGAACAAAACTTTTTACCGATTCGATTGAAACCTGCCTTAGGGCTCAAATTATGGGAGGAACAACCAATGAGCTCTTATAATGAAACATATCTGAAAACTGACTATCGAGGTACATTTTCGAATGGGTCCAGTGCAGACGGACTCACATATGGGATTCAGATTCAACCGTCTGGGAAGGGAGAGGGAGAGGGGGGTATTGTAGGAGTCATGTGGGGACCCCTAGGGAAAAGAGTCCTGGAATTCCAAAAATTTTCTGAAGGCGGTGGTTGAAGTAAGCCCGCCATACACACCCGAACTCTCTCTTTTTTCAGGCTTTATTGGTGAGCCTCCACTGACACAATACTTCCTCAGACCTATAAGGAATTACAAGCATAACACAATCAAACAGCTTAGCAATCTTGATTATTGCATTTGTCCCTGAGTATTGTATTTGTTTGTTTTTGTATGTTTTTGAGTATAGTATGCAATATTGCCTGCCTGGGGCGAAAGTTTTGTTCACAACCCAGCATTCTTGTGAAACATTCGCAAGGCGAACTGCGGCAAAAACAGCAGTTAACAAACAAAAACAATTCATGATTAGGTTTTTTTTCAGGGAGAGTGAGCACAAACGTTACCTCAAGTGGAGTGACGATGGAACGAAGATTTTTTATGAAAACTATAAGAAGTTTGTGATTAGCGACGAGCACACATGTCCAGAATGTACATGGGATGACATCGTGACGATTCCTAATCCAACTGGAATAGTGAGTGTTGAATTGAATTGAACGCTCCTTCTTCCCACAATCTGATCAAAATGTGTATTTCGGTAGTGAGGTAGAGGTACGACGGTGCGCTTCCGTTGTGGTTCAGTAGACTGCTATTATGGTCGACAACGGTCGCTCACAACACTTAAAAGCACATTCTATGATTAAGAAGATAGGGAATATTGCCTTTAAAAACAGGGAAATTACTCTGGAAAGACTTGTCCACGATAGTCGGCCGCCAGTAATGAAAAACAAGATAAAGGCTGTTTAGAACACTTAAAGTCACATCGCACGCCAACCGAATGGGCGGAGTTTGTACCGCCCCTACGTGAGTCTAACGAGTTAGCCGATCGTGTGGTACGGAAAAATGCAGTATCTCGGTAAAGAGACCAGGCGAATTAATGAGATTCCCGTGCGATTGAAGCGCAGACTCGCCCATACGGTAAATGGGCTATGTGGTTCGGAGAGCTCCAGCAGTTTTTTCTTGATTTCTTTTATCACCGGCAGGTACTCATCACAGCTACTTTGATTATCGACACGGCGACCTATACCTCATTACCTAACGTCTCTTCAAAGGAAAAGCCCGGGATTGAAGTGATGTATTATTACGCTCGTTACTGACAGTGAAGATGCGAACTATCACGTCAATCATGAAAAAATGGGAAAAAACCGTCGACATATACGGAAAGAAAGTCTCCCTTCCAAGCGGCAGTAAAACGAAGTACTTCGTACTGATTTGTAGGCGGGCCCAAATGTGCTGGACGGGGGCGATGCCGCGTCCTAGGAAGTTGTGTAGTGCTTTCCGCTTGCCAGTGCCTGTTTTTTTCTCGGAAAAAGCATAATTTCGACCAGAAATCGGACCTTGCCTTCAACCCCTTAACGACCGCCGTGATGCGTGCACTGCAGCACCTTTTTTTCACGTTTCTTTCAGTGGTCGTACCTTTTATATTTTATCTTCACTAATGAATAATTTGCTCTCGATTTACCGTCTGTATTGGAACACGAAGGGATGGGGGGAGTGGTGTGGTGGAGCGGAAGTGGTGTAGTGGCAAGTGGCACGCTTACCACGCGAGCGGTCCGGGGATCAAATCCTGGGTCGTGAGTCGCCCGGGCCAACCAAGCCTTCCATCCCTCCGGGGTCGGTTAATTGGTACCAGACTTGTCTGGGAGGATAAAAACACTGACTTGTACATCGGCTGGCCCCCGCAAGTCATTGTATAGGCCACATCGCATTCAAACGCCACTACGAATGTACAAATGGAAGTAGAATGCGTGCCGCATCATTATTACCCTTTGACGACAATGCGGATTTGCACGTAGCGTGCTCGTGGGACCACGCCTCTTTTTTGGCGCCCAACTCTCGCACAAAATGGGGCAAAATTGTCCCTAAAAGCAGTTTTTCTATCAAAATTTTGACTATGACAATAAACAAAATATGACTGCAGTCTTAAGCTTTATGATCATGTATTGTTGGAATTAGAAGTGGAAGTTTGGAAAGAAATCTCGGATTTCAAAGGGATGGTGTTTGAAAACTCTAGAAGTTCAAATGTACAGTAGAATTTTGATATAGTTCAAACTCCTCCTTGTGTCTTAAGACTGTGAAAAGACGTAGAGGTCCTGATCTGTAATTCACCTTAAGCTTAATAATGTAAAACACTAGTTAATACATCGCCGAGCGAAGTGCCATATCCTAAAATTTCATATAAATTAGCTAGTAACAAACATTTCTGCAAAATATGCTAAACATAGGCGTAACGGAGCTTGCTTATAATTACTGATATGTTGAAAATGTTTTAAATGGGTAAAGAAGAAAATTTTTAGGGTGGCACCCACCATTGGGTGCCATTGTCCCACGCGACGGTCATAGTGGCACCCACCGGTGGGTGCCATTGTCGCCAAAGGGTTAAGGGCAAATGCTTTATACTTTTCATCTTTTATCCTTATTGGAACACGAAAAAAATGCCCAATAATTTATGCCAAACAAGCTTCGTACGTGTGAAAGTGGCCCAACGGCGGGCGACGCCGTCGCCAATGGGTTATACGTCTCGATTGGAACACCGCCAGTCAAAATCCAGAATGGCAAAAGTCATGAAACAGTTCTTTCTAGCTGATAAGAGGCCCGCACATTTGCTTCTTCTTTTGAAATAAGGCTCGAAGACGTTAACAATAAGGGCGACGGTTACCGTGTAGGTAAACACCATGAAAAAATGATTTTTAGGGAGCAGCTGCTAGTATTAACGATCCACAGTACAACATTAGCAAAGTGGCGCAGAAAATTCTAGGATTTGGACTGTTGTTGCTTGGCGAATATCCCTTCATGTGCGCAAGTTTTTTTTTCCTAAAGTTGGTCATTGAGAGCGATCTCTATGCGTCGGCTGTTTCTTTATCCCCATTGCAAAAAGCCTTCAATATTCCAGATCGCACTCCGTCAGAGAGATTCTTTTTGATGGCTACAACGATGCTGTGCTCGACGTCGGGAATTCACAGGTATTACTGGTCATTATACTAAATGCCTTTATTTAGCCTCATTAATTGGATATAGAAGAATCCCCTTCTGCTTATTCTTCCTTCTCTACTTGCGGCTACCTCTTTAGGTACATCCAATGAAATTGAAGCTCATATAGAGTAAAGGAAGGATTTTACAGGGTGCGCCAAAATTACGGCGACAGCGATTTCGAGTTGCCTAGAATGAACATGCCACAATTCCAAGAAGCCAAAAATGCAGTAACGTTCACTGTTCAATAATGAATCGTAAACATCTGCCAAATCTCAGAAATTCCTTCGTTGGCACTTATACGGGCCTTGAGAAGCAGTGAGGAACCATCGACGGTGGCACGCAAGGTGGTGCGTGGAACCCGTCCTACGTATTCTGAAGCAATTCTTCAAAATAATCCCCAAAAATGTGAAGTTCCATGCAAGCTTCAGCTTGCAGAATCAATTCCACAGTGTAACCCATTTATATTGAATCTGAAATGCTGACCAACTCGTTGAAAGTGATGAATTCGACAAAATTGGCTCTGCACCAGTTCTGCACCACCCTTGCCTTATGGAAATCCCTTCCTTATGAAAGATACAACAATGTTTTCCAAATCTTAGTATGGCAATTTGCCGGCGGAACGAGTGCGCGAAGTGCCAGCAAATTCCGTTGCACACCATGCTGACATTGCTCGTGGCCGTCTCGAAACACGGCCTTCCCATCCAGAATGAGTGCATTCGGTTCCTTACTCTTCGGAGCGTTTAGTGGATCCATGATTGGTACCCGCGAAAGGAATCTTTGAATTCGCCAAGGAATCGAAGATAAGGTGGGCCGGACACGTCATGCGATTTTGCGATGCCCGTTGGACCAGAGCGTTTACCGACTGGATCCCTCGGGACGTCAAACGAACACCTGGACAACCG